ACACTTAAATGAAAGTGGACAAGGTGGATGGATAAGTTAAAAAAAAAAAACAGCAAGGTCCTGGTGGAGGAGAATCGAGTAGAAGTCTAAGTGATGCCAAGTAAAGGTGTGGTGGGAACAATGTAGTGATAAAGCTGAGAAGAGTGAAGGCTGACAAAATGTAGATGACAATAGAGAAGTGATTTTCCCCATTGAAGGGCCTACCCAAGTATCATATTGTACATACATGTTTATTCATAAATTATAAATGGGATCATTTTATATACTTATTATTAAATCTTAAGTACTTTTAAATACAATAATACCTGACTTATGAAATTTAATTCTTACTAACTCAGGTTACTATTTAAAAAAAAATCAAAATGCCCTGTTCACATGGTAAGTTGCAAAATATTTCAATGATATATCAATCTGAATAAAGCAAAAAGTTAAAAATCACTGGTCTAGGTCAACCTGTTCATTTTACAGAAAAGGAAACAGAATTCCAGAAGTTAAGTGATTTACCCAAATTCAGCGACTTGCCATAGCAACAGAACTTTAAAAATAAATGGAACTTTCTACAGAAAATGGTTTTCCTGTATTGAAAAATAACTCACTCCTTATCCTTCTAAATAGAAAGATTTCATAACTATCAACCTTCCAAGAATCTAAGAATATTTACCACAAATATTGTGTTTATCATGCTTAAAAATTAAATACTGTGTTCATTATGCTTATAAATATATTATACAATTTGTAAGTCCTTACCTAAGGACCTTAATTTACAATTTCTGTAAATTTCTTTGCCAAAAGTTATCAAGGAAAAATTGATATGCTGGGTCAATATAGATGGTACACTTTATTTATACTGATTAAAATTATTCCATTTCTTTTATGATCTTCCTCAACACAATACTACAGCCAGCCATTACTAGAAAAGATGAATTTGGCCAGTGAGATGAATTCTATTTTTCTTACCAGCACCTTAACCACTCATTTGGTATATTAAAAACAAAAACAAACAAAACAAAGCTCAGAATATGTGCCAGACATCAAGCTAAGTGCTGGAAAAACAATAGGATAGGAACTATCCCTACTCCTATGTATAGAATACATATTAGAAGCTCATTACATACCTGTTTACAGGAAGGAGAAATTTCAGTCTTCTGATCAAAGCAAATATTTTGACTTACCCACAATGCTATACCTAAGGATTAAAAACATTATCATACCTCACCTTTCCTCAAGGAATTTTAAATCTGGCTGTGGATATGAGACAGATAGGCAGTATATATACCCACTAATGAGTTAACGGTTTATCAGATGCCAAGTGAATGTTAGCCAATAAAGTACTCATCTGGGAAATGGATAGTGAAAGTTCTAATCCACCAATGACATCATTATCAAAATATTTTATAATCTTTTTGTAGTTTCCCTCTGGCAGTTTCACCAGATAATTACTTTATTATCAAATCTCATTTTAAGCCAAGAATTGCACTACTTCATTTATTCCCCAAAGCCATACTCACATTTTTTAAGTTATTCCTCAAAAATCCAACCCCAAGGGATGAGGTTTCTCCGGACTTATTTTTTCCCAAAAGAACATCCTGCAAATTCTTAAATTTTCAAAATAAGAATTCCCAAGATGTTTCATAAATGAGAGCAAGACCTCCTCTAAGAATAAAACTTAATCCTCATTATTTGTAGATTCCATGTCTGCAAATTCCCCTACTCACTAAAATTATTTTCAAATCCAAAATGAAGGCAACACTTTCACATCTCATAGACATGCAGAGTGGCAAAAAATCTGAATCATGCAATGTTGAGGTCAAACAATGCAAAGCTCTGCCTTCTTGTTTCAGCTCTCATTCTGTAATACTGTAAACAAGTCTTTCCCATGGCTTATCTGGTGTTTTTTTACGTTTTTGTATTTTGTGTTGGTGATTTCACTATTTAAAATGGGCCCCATACACAGTGTTTAAGTGCTATCTAAAGTTCCTAATCACAAAAATATGGTAATGGGTCTTACAGGAAAAATACATGTATTAGATATGTTTCATTCAGACATGAGTTACACTGCTATTGTCCATGAGTACAATGCTTATAAATCACGAATCAGTAATACATATTAAATAAGGTATCTTTTAACAGAAACAAACATAAAACAAGGTTATATATTGATAGACTTACAAAAATGTTGTGACCAGAGGCTCACAGGAACGTAACCTGGTATTTCTCCTAGGAACAATGGTTCAGTATTCACCAATTCAGTGTTCATGGTGACTTTATAGAACACAACTACCCCAAGTAACAAGAATCAACTGTACTTTTTTTTTTTTTAGATTTTTTTTTTTTTATTTATTTATTTGAGAGAGAGAGAATGAGAGACAGAGAGCATGAGAGGGAGGAGGGTCAGAGGGCGAAGCAGACTCCCTGCCGAGCAG